CCTCTCTTCGGATCCAACAGACATTTTTATCTACAATGTTTCTCCAGGATTAGGTAAATAAGTCTGCAAAGAGATCAAAATACACTTCATAGGGATGCATTCCTTGTTAAGGGACTCTAAGGTAACATCAAAAGCGCTGGTAAGGTAGCTTGTCTAAAGTTACACTCTTTACCTCAGTCTCATCTTTTGGGACAACAACTGTGCTGTGAGGATGGGAACGTCCTATAATTGTGCAGTCCAATATAGTAGCCACTAGCCACATCAAGCACTTGAGACGTGGCTAGAGTGACTCAAAAACAGAATTTTTAGTATTTAATTTTAATTACGTTAACTAGTCTCGCGTGGCTAGTGGCTGCGCAGTTATAGAGGGCACCTGATAGGTACAGCGACGGAATACAGCAATTACTAGGGGTTAAGTAAGCAGGCACAGTGTGCCCCGAAGCTGCAAAACATTTTCCAAAGTAGTAATAATTCCGTTAAAGTAACGTTATTGTGTTTCCAATTACAGAAAATTCAGGTCCAGTCAGCTGGGACAGCTAAGAGGCAAACCCTGAGCGGCTTGCGGGGCCCAAAGGCAGGGACCTGAGGTGAAACAGAGTCCCGGGGAAGGGGCGGGCGTCGAATCTGCTTTGCAGGAATCTGCCTTCAGGACAAGGACCTTTCTCTCAGGCAGGGGTGGGGGTCGGCAAGAGACAAAGAGGGCAAAGGGCAGCGGCTCCGACCCGGGGCGTGAGAGGCGCTCCCCCGCCACGCTAGACGACTGCGACCGCGGAAGACACGCCCGTCTCCACCCCAGCCACCACTAACCCGATCCAGAGATGCAGCTCTTTTTTGGCCGGAGTAGGCTGACAAAAACCCCGCTGGCGCTTAGATCACAAATTTGACTCCTCAGGCTTCCTTCCGCGGCGTCCCGCCACCCAGACAAGACACAAAGCGCGTAACCCCAGCAGCTCCGCCTCCTCCACCTAGTTTCAGACGCTCGCGCCAAAAGCCCGCTCGAAGCGTGTGACGTAACGACGCCGCGACGCAGCACGCAGCGTACGCGTCGCCCGGAAGTTAGGTCGCCGGCCCCTCCGCAGCCACCGGCGTTGCTCTTCAGTGCCGCAGCGGGGGAATTCTTTGTTAGGCTCAGGAACAGTCAGTCTCTGACCGAATAAAGAGGGAGCTGGAGGGCGTGTTCTCCTCTCCCTGACCCTTCGGAGTCCTAGACCGCCCTGGCTGGAGGGGTCGCCCCCCCACGTCTACTCCAAGTCTTCCCTCTCTTGCTTCCTCCTCCAGCCGACATTTGGGGTGGAGGGGGGGCGCCCTCCGGACACGACCCAGGACCTTTGAAAGGTCTTGTTCAGATTTTAGAGCGGATGTTCCCTCAGGCCTGTCCCCCAGAGTGGGCTGACCTTAGAAATCCCCACAGTGGTCCATGGTTGTGAATGACTCACTTCCCTACTGCGTGGTAGTGGAAGGGGCCGATATGTAAAGTCAGAGGACATTAGTTCTAGTAGGCATGCCTTTCTTAGGTAGCAGGTGTAAAAGACCTCTGAGCTTGAGAAATTGTGAAGCCCATCTTAACACGCTCCTGCAGTGTAGTACTCTTCTTCTCAGCCCTTGGTAGTATGTTTAACATTCTTAGGGTACCAATTGCTCTGTTTTGTGCCTGTCTTCCCCCGCAAACTGACCTGGAAGACAGGAACCTGACCTCATCTCTGAATTCACAGAGTCTGTAACGTGTCTAACACAAAGCTTAATTCTGGTTTGTTGTATGACCTAGAAAGGCTTCAACTGGATTCGGGAGCTGAGAGCTGCTCCTGGGACTTGATGTATTCATTAGGTGCTTGAGCAGTAAATAGCAGAAGCAACCTTGGATTAGAAAATGGGTTGGCTCCACTTGGTTGCTTAGGTATCTTTTTATTTTTTTGTTTCTTTTAAAAATTTTTTTTCTCTTTTTAGGTATTTTAGTTTGATCGTCAGTAATCCTTAGCTGTAGCAGGAGAAGGGTTGGCTCCACTTGGTTGCTTAGGTATCTTTTTATTTTTTTGTTTCTTTTAAAATTTTTTTTTCTCTTTTTAGGTATTTTAGTTTGATCGTCAGTAATCCTTAGCTGTAGCAGGAGACCTTACTAATGCAAATTCAGACCTTACTGAAGCTTTTGATCTAAGTCTAATTAGCAAAGGAACACAGGTCTGTGATCCTTATCTAATAATAGCCACCACTGACTGAACATTTTATGAGTTACCATTGTGCTTTGGGCTTTAAAAGCAACATCATGTTTAATACTCATAATCCTATAAATTGGTTAGTATTGTTAGGTGAGGAAACTGAATCAAGTAGTTACATAACTTACCTAGTGACAAAGCCCGGGTTTGAATTTAAGTCCATTTGACTTCATATACTTAACTACCCTGCGATGAAACCTGCATTTACCCTCTAAATCAGAACAATTTGCTTTCCTGCCTTTTTTTTCGGGGGGGGGCGTGAAGGACTGAGAACCACTGGCATGTCACAAAATCCTCTGAAATATATTGTCTCTCATTATATATGCTACCCTGTAATTTTATATTCCTTGTTCTCTTGGTACCAGGGACTTTATATTCATCAGCTCTGCCATAAAATGCTTTCTTTCTTATACTGTTCTAGTGCAGCTCCTCAAATAATTTACCTCTTATATTTGATTTACAATATGCTTTATTTTAAAATTTCTTCATAAAAATTGTGTATATTTAATGTGTACCACATGATGTTTTGATATATGTATAAATAGTGAATGATTACTGCAGTTAGGCAATTAAGACCATTTCCTCACATTTACCTTTTTTTTGTGTGTGATGAGAGCACCTGAAATCTACTCTCTTAGCAAATTTCCAGTATACCATACAGTATTATAAACTATAGTCATCATGCTGTACCTTAGATCTCTAGACTTATTCATCGTACGTAAGTGTGGCCTTATACTGTTCGACCACCATCTCCCCATTTGCTCTACTTTTTGCCTCTGGTAACCAGTATTCTACTCTGCTTCTATGTATTTGACTTTTTAAGATTCCATATATAAGTGAGATCATGCAGTATTTTTTTATCTGGCCTATTTCACTTAGCATAAAGCCCTCCAATTTCATCCATGTTATTGCAAATGACATGATCTCCTTTTTAAAGGCTGAATAATATTCCACTGCATATGTATACCACAATTTCTTTATTCATTCACCTGTTGATGGACGCTTAGATTGTTTCCATAGCTTGGCTATTGTGAATTATGCTGCAATGAACATGGAAATGCAGATATCTCTTCAAGATATGGATTTCATTTCCTTTGCATATGCACACAGCAGTGGGATTGCTAGATCATATGGTAGTTCTAGTTTTAATCTTTTGAGGAACCTCTCCTTACTGTTTCCATAATGTGCATACCAGTTTACATTTCCAACAGCGGTGTATAAAAGGATCTCTAAAATGGTCGCTAGAGGAATAAATAAATGAATAGCTAATTAAAGCATATGTGTGAATGTCAGAAATAAAAAACAGCTTTGGAAAAAAGATTCAGGAATACTGAATTGAAGAAGTAGGGAAAAACAATTAGGAGTCAGGTGGTAATCAGATCTCTGTAGATAGGTAGATCGTCCCTCCAATTAAGGTAATAGGGGGCAGCTTCCATTAGAATCTGAACTAAATGGAGAAACCCGGGATAAATCTGAACCAACTTGATCAGGAGAAAGAAAGGGCGGGTGAAAGTGGAAGGCAATAAAAGGACACAAACAAACTAAACTAGGATATTGGGCTGGGCCTGAGCACATGTGGGCAGATGGAACGCTTTGTCAGTGTTCCCTGTGGCTTGTACCAGGGATATGGGACCACCCTGCCTTTGGGCCAGACTGGACTTCCAGGGCACCAACAGCCTGACTGGTGGCAAAACATGGGCCCTTCCACCTTCCTGGCCAGGCCGGTGCTGGTCGTTCCCTCCAATGCCTCCGGCTACTGCATGAACCCTTGCAAGAGGGCACAGCTTCAGTCCATTCTTGCCCAGATGAACCCCAACATGAACCTGCGGCTGTGCAAGGCCAACACCAAGGAGGTGGGAGTGCAGGTGAGCCTGCGGGTGGACAAGTCTGTGCAGTGCTCGCTGGGGCCTCCCATCCTGCACAGCCACTCACCCTGGGACAGCACCGGCCATGGGGAGCCCCCGCCAGCATGGGGAGTCTATTCACCCATGATCGGCCGCAGGGGTTTGGTGCAGCTGCGGCTACAGGAGGATGAGGAAGATGGGGAGGGCAAGGCGCTTTCGAGCCCTGCTGAGGCCGGCCAGCAGCGGCCACCAAAAACAAAGTCAGAAGATGACAGGCAGGAGGAACTTGGACAGCCTGATGAGTTAGGGGAAGACGATGCTGTGCGTCCTCGAGAAAGAAAGAGCAAGCAGGTACACGGAGACACAGCCTCTGACTGGCTCCATAAGCCCAACTTCCAGGTGCACTTTCTCTTCCCTCTTCTTAGTCCTCTGCCAGTCCCACTTTCTCTCTTCTTTCCCATTTCTAGGGCAATAAGAGCAAATTTCCTCTTGCTCCCTCCCTTTATTTCGTGAAGGAGAGGGAATCCTGAAAACATGTGTTTTAAGTGGCCTGTATGTTTTCTAAGTTTTTGGCAAGTTACGGTGCTAACCCTAACTAAGCCTGTGAAAGTCGAAAATTCTGGCAACCATTGCTTTTATGAATGACGAGACAAAGAAGGGCTTCCAGTCTGTGAAATATGAAGTTAGATCTTCGTTTCGGGGAGATTGTGCTGGTGGCACTGTGCAAAATGGATTGGAAAAGTATGAAAGATAGCAGCAAGAAGAATCCCAGAGTAATCCTTAGAGACGAGAAGCTAAATTAATGTAGTAGAATTGAGAATAGATATGTAAGGTTAAAGAGGTAAATTTTTTTTTCTTACATAAAGCCATAAAGAAAGAAGGAACTAGCTGTTTTCTTCAACATGGTGAAAGACTTTTCCCCCTTATTTTCAGCTTTTGGAACGAAAATATGGCTATTTTCACTGCAGAGATTGTAACACCAGATGGGAGAGTGCCTATGTGTGGTGCATTTCCGGAACTAATAAAGTAAGTAAAAGTGAGAGGACATGAGAGAAGACTGGGGTGGGTGCAGGTGTTAGATGGAGAAGTCTGTTTCCTCACATAGCATGACTGTCACAAGGCCGTGTCATTCATCTTGGCATCCTTGGTGCCAGGCATGCAATAAGTGCTTAGTGAATGTTCGATGGCCCTGCATCAGACTGCCCACCTGAGTTCCTGGACAACTAACTGGCGTTATATTTGATGGTGTTAGATGGAGAAGTCTGTTTCCTCACATAGCATGACTGTCACAAGGCCGTGTCATTCATCTTGGCATCCTTGGTGCCAGGCATGCAATAACTGCTTAGTGAATGTTTGATGGCCCTGCATCAGACTGCCCACCTGAGTTCCTGGACAACTAACTGGCGTTATATTTGATTTGGCAGTTCTGTAGGACAAAATATCGGGTTATTTAGATAAACTTCTCTTCTTGCCTACATTGGGACTTTCTGTAAACATATTTTAGTTGGTATATTTTGAACAGGTTTGGGCCTTAGCGCTAGGAAATTTCCCTTGTTTGTCCACGAGGTGGGGCAATAAGAGAAATAATTTATTGCAAAGGTTGGCCTGTAAGAGACTGACTTAGGTTAAGCCTAAATTCTTTTCTCTCCTAATTTGAGTTAATTGTCAACATATTAGGATTGGGAAAGACTTTACATTCAATTCTGCATTTCTAGATTTTCATGAACGACCATAGGCTCTGGTCATAGTGGGCCCTCATTTCAGAATGAGAATGCGGTCTGTGGCTGAGCAGCTTCTGTCTCCTTCCAGTTGGCCTGTGCACTTCATTTTGCAACAGTCTACATGGGGCCTACTTCAGTAACTTGTAAAAGCATTTGAGTTTGAGCCTCCTGTACTGTTGCATGTTTGGATGCTGCCTTTCTGACTGGTGGACTGAGAAGGAAGAGGGTAAAAGGGAATGCTGAGATCTGACTGAAAATGTGCCTTTTCAGAGTAGCCACTTACTAGATCCAGGAGGTGAATAGATTTTTAACCTGTTAAAAATTATTTCCCTTCTCTTGCCAGAAGAAAAACAATGAGTTTAATTCAAACATTCCCAGGCACTAGCATACAAAGAACAAGACATGGAACTTGTTTTTCTGGTGGGTATTATAGATTACAAGAAGACTCCTTGATTTATCAAAGTCTAGGTAAATTGTTAATCTTGTGTCTCCCTAACGGTGCAATGACTCAGACTTATTCTGATGGGAGTGATGCAGACCAAATACAATTTGTGATATTAGCAATGGCACCTATGGCATGGAAGTGGTCCAGAAATAATGCCGGTGGGAGATGATTAGCCCTGTCAGTGACTAACCCTGTCTGTGGAAAGGCATCATGATGTCCAAGCAGGATTTTGAAGGATAAATAGGAGTTCACAAAGTAAGGCAGGGAGAAAACCACAGTAAAATACACAAAGCTTAGAAAGCACATGGTATTGATGGTAACCAGAAGTAACTTAAAGTTCAAGTGGAGAAATACTGAAAAATTAATCATGTAAGGGTTAATAGACCAGGACAAAAGAAGACCAGCTCACACAGTGAGTAAAATTATTTTAACAGGTACTTCCCATTGAGTACTTACTACAGTACTTTATATACATTATTGGGTAGTTATCAGTACTACAGGAAAGTCAGTAGCATTATCCCAATTTCATAGGTAAGAAAAAAGTAGGTTAAAAGTAAGAAAAAGTGACTGGTAGCACTAGTAGAGCTTAAAAACTTAAGGTGGGGTGAAAGCAAGGTACAAGGTGAGGGAATGGATTACATAAATTAGAACTGGGAGCCTAGGAAGGGAGGGAGTGTGTGTGTGTGTGTGTGTGTGTGTGTGTAAGCTTTTATAAAAGGCAAATTTCTCTTTAGGTTTACTTCAAACAGCTCTGTTGCAAATGCCAAAAGTGTTTTAACCCTTACCGAGTAGAAGCAATCCAATGTCAGGTAAGCATATAGAACACTTCCATTGTGTCTTATGTTTCTGTTCTTAAACATGAAACCTCTGTGACAAAATGTTGGGATTTGATAGAATTGGATCTTGGCATGGGAGTGTTAGGTTCTCCATATGTTTCAAGTTTTATGATTATGTATTTTAGAAAATGAAATGAAAGCACAAATTCTAGTTCTTTTTTGGGGGGAAGAAGGATTATTCACTATTTTAAGTTGCTTTATGTGCTGTGTTTGTATATGGTGTATGTGTGTTTTTCTTCAGAGGCATCCCGTGTATAGTTAGAATGTAGTAATTTAATAGATAACCTTTACTAAACTTTTACTATGTGCCAAACTTTGGGCTAAGTGCTTTATATGTCTAATCTAAACTTTTTGATAGGTGTTATCATCATTTTATAGATCAGAAAGCTAAGTTCAATAAGATAACTTGCCCAAGGTTAGACCAACAGTAAATATTATAGCTGTGATTGGATTTCGTGGTGTCTCCAGTGACATAACTAGAGGAGCTCTTAACTTCCTATTAAGTTCTCTTGAGTTTGGGGGGGCAGGTGGTGGTGGGGAGATCTAAAATAGCTCAAAGGAAACCTGTCTCTAAGAGTTTCAGAAAAGTGTGACATAGTTGATTTTCATAATCAATAGGATTTTTTAAAACCTAAATCCTTTTCCTATCATTAGTAGAATTTTTTTTTTTTTTTTGTCTTTTTCCGTGTCCGGCAACGGATCGCAACCCTCAGTGTCGCCCCTGTACCGGACCGGGGACCGGCAACGGGATCGCAACCCTCGGCATCGATCCCGCGCCTCGCTCAGCCAGTGAACGGGGACCGGTCCGCA